TTACCCTGAGGAGGTCAAATGGAAGGCCCCTCTCCCTCAGGTCCAGGTCTGACAAGCTGAGGACCCAGCCGCAGGGTCAGGGAAGCAGAAATGGAGGGGGGGGGGGGGGTCCAAGGAAGAACTCACCGCTTTGCTGCAGGCTCTCAGCTGCTCACTCTCCCCAGCACATCTTGGGTCGGGGCTACTGGGAGCAAAGAGGCTCCACTGGGAGCTGGAGTGGGGGCCATCCCTCAGCAGAGGCAACCAGCCATCCTGGTAGCGAGGGGCAGCCTCTGCGGGGGGCCTGTGACGGTTCCCCCCAGCTCTCCAGTGCTCCCGGCTCTGCTGGCCTCGGCCCCAGCCCCGAGGGACAGAGAGGAAAGGATTAGGGTGTGTCCCTGCCACCTGGGCACGGGCCCGGCCCTGGGAGCTTGGCATTCTTGGCTCTGGGGACACGTGGAAGGAGCCACTTCCTCGTGGGGAGGGGGTGAGCGAGGGGGGCTCTTGGCCAGAGGCCTGAGCCCTGGGAGGGGGCCTGGCTCTCGAAGGCACCTCTGTCCGGGCGGCCTCGGGGCCTGGGGAGTCCGCAGGGGGGGACGGGGTGTGGGCAGAGGGTTGCCCAGGAGAGGAATGAGTGGGAGGGGTGTGGTTTGCGGGGGATCGCTCTGCTCCTGGAGCGAGGGGTGGGAGAAGCGCTGAGGCCTGGGAGAGCTCAGATCTGCGAGGTCTCTGGCGGTGGTGCCTGCGGTTCCGATGGAGTGGCAGAGCAAAGGGCACTCTGCCGTAGCCAAACATTCCTGGCTTGATGGGGTCTCGGACCCGGGACCTGAGAAGGTGTTGCAGACATAGGGTCACGGCTCTGGTCGGCGGTTACCCTGCCTCCCCTGCCCCCTCTACTTCCTGGCACCAGAGATAAGCCCTGCTCCAGCCCTTAGTCCTTCCTCCCCGTTCCTTTATTCTAAGCCCCAGCCCTCCCTCAAAGCCCCGCTCCTCACCTCCTGGCCCCTGGCACCTCCTGGGCCTCCTCTCTCCCTAACTGGGAAGCAGGACCTCGAAGTGGGCCGCCTCTGCCTCGAGGCTGCGGCCTGTACAGGGGGAGAGTTTCTTGCGGGGTTGGGGGTCTGGGGCCCTGGCTTCGGGGGAGCAGGATTTCTGGGTTCCTTGGGGGCCGGGATGGGAAGGGGGGGCCCTGGTGGAGTTGGGCCGTAGGGAGCTGACAGGTCCGCCTCCTGTGTTGCACTCCGACCCCACATGGCTGGGAGCAAGGGGCCCACTGGTGCCAAGGACCCCAGACGCCCTCGGGGCCCTGGCCTTCCTCGGCGGGTGCTTGAAGAGCGTGTCCAGACAACACCTATGTAGACAAAAAGGCCGAACAAAATTAGAGTGACTTTAGAGGGAGCCATACAGAGAGGCGCTAGTCCTATGCTCAGGCTCAGGGAGGCTGTCACCAGCCCAGAGGTGCATTCAGTCGCGCAGGTGTTCATTGGAAAGGAGCTGGGAGCTCGGGAGGCGGTGGGGGGCGGGGGGTTTGGGAGGGAGGTTTGGGGGGCGGAGAACGGACCGGGTTCTTCAGAGGCTTTGGAAAATGGAGGCGTGACCTGGAGCAGTGGGGGTGGGAGGTCAGGGCAGAGACAAGCATGGCAGCCTCCCGTCCCTGGCTCACCTCCTGATCCAGGCAGAGCTGAGGGAGGCTCAGAAGCAGCATCAGACCAAACGGGGGCCTGCAAACCAAAGGCGGAGCGGGGACATGGGGACATGGAGCCGGAGCTGGTCTTGCGACACTGCCCCTCTCCCCCAGCAGGCTCCCCACATCCTGAAGCAGATTTCTCAGAAAGCAGAAGTTACTCATCCCTTCCCGCCCCCCCCCCATCCCCGCCCCTCCCAGTCTTCTCCTTTCCCTCCCTTCCAGGGACCCAGCCGTTCCTCCGCGCCTCCCCTCCCCCCCACCCTTCTTACCTGCCTGCCCACTTCTCCATCACTCCTCCTGGATGGGCGCAGGAGGAGGGGCCGGAAGTAAACACTCTACTCAGTCATCTGGACGCAGAGGGGGTGCTCTCTGCAGGGACAGAAGCCTGGTGGTTACTCCAGAAAGCCTGGGGTTGAGAGGGATGACTCCGCAGAAGGTCATCTCGAAGTGAGGATGTGGGTGGGGGGAGGCGTGATCCTCAGGGTGAGCGTGAGAAGGCGTGCGCCCTGGTCCAGCGGCTGAGGCCAGAGGGTGGAGGGCTCAGCCGCAGCCTCCGCCCCCAGCCCCGCAGGACCGTCCTGGCTCCTCCCCCGACCCAGCCAGGAGCTGTTCCCAGGCCAGCTCAGGCCCAGCATCTTTCTTAGGAGGGCCTTCCTTTGGCCCCCAGTCCTGCCTCCTGGAGGCCCTGTGGGGGGAGGGGGGCTCTGATGAGGACCCGCCAGAAGCCCCAGAGAGGAGTGGACAAAAAAAGAACACCTTGGACTTTCTGCTTCTAACCCGCCTCCCAGTCTTTTCCCTCCTCAGCTAAGCTGCTTCTGAAACACTCGGGCACATGTCTGCCCGCCTTAAACTAAGTGGGATCAACTAAGAGGGCTGATGGCTTAATCTCTAGAGAAGCAGGTGATTTTCCCATTTCCATGTAACCTCCCTTTAGGGGCCAGCGTCCAGCTCTGGTTCAATGAGAGCTTATTGTGGGGGTGACAGTGATGGGCTGGGGGAACCTGGGAAGGAAAGATGCAGCTATAGTCACTCCGCAGCCACAGGCCTGCCGTTCCGAAGCCCCGGAGTCCGTCCCGAAGTCAAGCTCTGATCAATCCGGAAAGTGGCGCTTGCAACCCTCCCCGGACTTTCCTATGGCTCCCCCATGGCCCTCCAGCCCCTCCCTGTTCAGTACCAGCCCTTCCCACCCCCCACTCTTCATCCCTCCCTTAGTTATGCTTTCCAGGAAAAAAAAAATGTTTCTGTTGGATCTGAAAGGCACCCGGGAAAGGAGTCCAAGGAGCCAGTGCTGAGGTGGGCCAGCTCGGGCCCGGGGATGACAGAGGGAAGAGCAGGAATGTGCTTGGGGTTAGCACCATCCAGCCCTCCCCCTCCCCCAGACCCCAGGGCTTGGGAATTTGAGGGCAGGATCACCCGGTTGAGCCTGACCTGCAGGGTCACCCCAGCTGCCTGGGGCTGGGGAGGGGGTTGCTGCTGGCTGGGCTGACCACTGAGGTCAGGGACTCCACCCCGATGGGGCGGGCGGGAGGTGGCGGTTCCAGAGAAGGGCCAAAGTTCCACCCAAACCTTCCACGCTGCCTGACGCAGCTACTTGAGGTTGACGGGGAAGGAGAGCTGAGGGGTGATGGTCACCGTCCGTCCCTCCTCTGCTTCGGGGTCCCCTTTCCTCTCCTCCTCTGACTCTGCTTCTCTCTGCTACCCCAGCTCTGCGTCTTGTCGTCTCTCCTGTGGATCTACCAAGCACACACAATCCTGTCCTGAGCTGGGCTTGGCTTTGGCAGTTCCCTGGAGAAGTGAGGGGTGGAGGGTGGGGGTGACGTGAGCTCCTGGGGCCCTCGCCAGGCCTGGCTCCCTCTCTGGAAAAGCCCCACCCAGCCCCCCTGCACAGCCGGGCAGGGGGCCCACGGCCCCTCCAGTGCAGAGACAGGACACATGTGTGCTCTTTATCCCTCTCCGTGTCCCCCTTCCCGTGGGTCTCTCACTGCCCGGGGTGAGGAAGGGAGAGGTCAGAAGTGGCACTCGGTGCCAGGCTGGACACTGCTCTGGATAAACCTGGGCTCCTCCTGGCCACACCTCCACACTGGCCAGTGAAGAGCAGAGAGACCTGGGCAGGGCCAACTGACCCTTTTACCCCCAGAGGCACCCACCTCTGGGCACTTGGGGGAGAGGGCTGGGCAGCACGGTCAGGCTGGCACGGAGCCCAGACCCTGGCAGAGCTCCTGGGTCCTCAGGGTGCCCTCCATTCCTGGGTCCCGGAGGAGCGCCCCAACAGGTGTCTCCTCCCAGCATCAGGCTGGGCTGGACCTCAGGAACCCACCTGCATCCCTCCCGGCGCCCCTGTCCCCCAATCTAGGCGCGACAGGATGGGGCGCACACCATCCTCCAGGGGAGGGCGGGAGGCGCTGGCGCGTGCGAGGACGTCCTGGGCATGTTTTCCAATTGACTCTGTGACTCCGCAGGAATTCTGGCTGGTTCTCCTCCGGACAGAGGTCCCCGGGGTCAGAGCCCCCTCCCCCGGAATCCGACCTCAGGGGCTGGAGGAGCTGGCGGGGCGGCGAGGGCTGGGGTCAGGGTCCTGGCGGGAAGGCACCGCGGGGCGCGGGGCGCGGGGCGGGCGGCCTAACGGGACCGGGGACGGGCCGGGCGCCGGGCCGGGGTCCCAGGGGAGCTCTGTACCTGCTCTGGCGGCCCCGGCGGCCCGTTAGCCGCTCTGCGCCCGGGCGCTCCCTGGAGGCGGCCCGGCTCGGCGGCGGCCACGGCGGCCCCTGCGCCCCGCTCCGGCCTCCGCCGCCGCCGCCGCGGCCCCGCCCCCGCCCCGCCCCGCCCGCCCCGCCCGCCACGCGCCCCTCGGCGCCCCGCGTGGGGCGGCCCCCGGCGCCGAGGCCACCCACTCGGGGCGGCGCGCCCGCGGCTCCGGGGCTGGAACGCGGGTGGTCCCGGCCGGTTTGGGGGCCGCCGGCGCCCCCGGCGCTGACCCGGGGCCCTGCGCGGGGCGCCGGGACTGGGCGCTGCAGGACCCCGGCCTCCGGCCGCTCCGGGGGGCGCTGCGCGGGGGCGCGGAGGAGCGGGGCGGCCGGTCCCCGGGCAGCGTGGGCCCAGGTGGGCTGTGCACCCCGGGCGGTGGCCCCGCGCGCGTCAAGGCCCGCTCCCCCCAGCCCCGTGCTGGCTGGTCGCCCCACGCCGTTCCCGTTCCGAGGGCTCAGGGGCTCTGTGAGCCGCCGTCTCTTCGCCCATAAAAGTCTCTTCTCGGGCGTTGCGGGAGGAACGCTGATTTGATCTGGATGTTAATCCCAGCTCCTGTGCTTAGGGTCTCGGGTGGAGACTCCAGTCACTCTGGGCTGCAGTGTCCTCATCTGTGCAACGGGGCTGCTCTGATGTGTAGGACACACTGGAAATGTGTCTGCAGCCATGCACATCCGGAATAATGCACCCCAAAGTCAGAATGAGATGCAGCGACACATGAGATGATGGGGTGCAGGGGTGGGGAGGGGAAAAAAAAACACACAGGTTTTCACTTTTAAAACGGTATATTTTGAATTTGTAACCGCAAGGGTTACCTGTGTTATATTTAAAAATAAATAATATATTTGTTTAATATTTTATTTTAAATTATTTATTTAAACAAATAATATATAAAATGGCTGATAGAGAATAGGTGATAAATGGTCACTACTATTTATTTATTTATTTATTTATTTATTTATTTTTAGAGGAGCAAATGAGCGCAGGCCCCCCCCACGTTATGCTGGCGTTTCCCACATTTGGGGAAATCTCGGGGGTCAGCACATGTGGAGAGTAATGGATAAGCCTCGCCCTGAGAAAACCACCTTGGCGATCAATGTATCTCCCCTGCCAGGTAAGTATCGTCACTATCACTTAAAAATGTTTATTTGCCACTGACTCCTGAGCCATTGTGCCTCTTGGGTCTACTAAAAAAGTATTTTCTTTTTAATTAATTTGAGAGAGAGATTTGTTATTCCACTATGTATGCTTTCATTAGTTGATTAAAAAAATTTTTTTTTTAATATATTTTTATTGATTTCAGAGAGGAAGGGAGAGAGAGAGCGATAGACACACCAATGATGATGTTTTGGTCCTGTGTCCTAAAGAGCCCGGGGAAAGAACAGGTTAACGTTCCGCTCCCAGGAGGGCGGTTTATCTGGGGCTGCTGGTAACAGTCCTGACCCAGAGGCATATTTATAGTCTCGGGCTTGGAGCGGGAAGCCCCTTTGCTCAGACCTCAGAGTTCAAAGCAGACTATGAAAATCCCAGCCACGGGGGCCAGGAAGGTATGTTAGGTCAGTGCTGCCCAGTCACACCCCGTCAGCATTCACTCATCTACAAGGAGGTGAGGGCCCGGACAGGACGGCGGGCTGGAGACAGCGGAGCGGGACGGGAGGGAGCCTGGGAGGAGGGAAAGGCCCCCTCTGACATTTGTAGCTGCCCCGCACCGAAGGTCAGAAATAGCCCTTTCCATTAAGAAGTGGCTGCGGACCAAAGAGCTCAGGAGGCTTAATACAGCTGTCACCGCTGCTGACTTGGTGGTCCGAAAACACAGGATAAAGAAAAGAATTTGCGATGCCTCAGCAACCTGGGGAGTACCAGGAAAACTTATGGACACTGCCTCAAAGATCAAAAAAGGCACTTCATAAAAGACTCTGTAAGAAGTAGATGTTCACCCAAAAGCATCTTTAGGGATAGGACCGATAAAGGATAAAGAGCAGGAAAAGACGGAGCATGTGTCTGACTTTGAGCTTAGCAGAGTGATTTAACAACAATAAGGTATGGTTAACATAGGATAGCACTTACTCTGTGTACAGTCCTCATCGTAACAGATCTGGAATCAAAGACCTAACGAAAAATTCGGTAATCTGCCCCCAAATCTCACAATTAGAAGCTACTAATGTGTAGATTGTATGCAAGTGAAATTTTTGAGAAATTTAGCTGAGTTCGTTTATTTACTTTTCTCTCTGCTAGTTGGCCAGTGACACCAAAGGAGGTTGTATTTGTGTTGAATTAAATAACATCGTAAACTAATGTTTCCTGTCAGGCATTGTTCCGACCCCAAGAAAATACGGATGCTAATACCAGTGTGGCCAGGTGGGGCCAGAAATTGATGTAGGACTGTCTGTTTTGGGTCTGTGGTCATGGCAACCATTTTCAGAAAGCCTGGTGTTTGCCTTCCGGCCTCTTGGAATCACAGTTTGCTCAATTCCTTTGTCCCAGGAGAGCCACTCTATTCCCAATTGCTACACACCAGGCTGGCCTCCAGCCCCTGATTCCGTGTCCCGTCGCATTATTTCACACTGTTCTTTCCCCGAGTGGTTCTCCTGGCCATTTGGCTTTGCCGTGGCCGAGTTCACCCTCCAGCAGTTAGGAGAGCAGCCTGCTGTGACCTGTTCTCTACCGGGAACCCAGAGGGTGGGGACCACCTGGCCATGCTTACCTTCTGTTCATCACCTCACCTTGCGCATAGTAGGCATTTAATAAGAGCTTGGGGGATTAGCCCACAAGTGAGAAATGGTGAGCACTACCTCTGCTCTGGCCACGTTCCAGCACTTTCTGGTGGTTCGTTCTTTCTTTCTTTCTTTCTTTCTTTCTTTCTTTCTTTCTTTCTTTCTTTCTTTCTTTCTATATATCTATATATAATATATAATTGATTTTTTACAGAGAGGAAGGGAAAGGAATAGAGAGTTAGAAACTTTGGTGAGAGAGAAGCATCGATCACCTGCCTCCTGCACACTACCTACTGGGGGGATGTGCCTGCAACCAAGGTACATGCCCTTGACTGGAATCAAACCTGGGACTCTTCAGTCCGCAGGCCGACGCTCTATCCACTGAGCCACACCAGTTAGGGCTCTGGTGGTTGTTTCGCCCTCTCATGGCTGAGCTGGGTCTAGGCTGATGAAATGATGAAAAAACAGGATCTGACCCATCTGGCAAGATGAGGACCAAGACGTGGAGGGATGTTCTGATCTCATCTGGTCAGAAACCCCCAAAGCCAGAATTCTTCTTGACTTAATTTCCAAATGTCAACCTACCGGTGCCTCTCAGCAGGTCCTAGGTTCCTTGGAGGTAGACTTTGCCCTGAGCCATGCGTCTGACCATTGGCATTCTCAAAACAGGAAGTGCTCAGTAAATGTTTGTGGAATTGAATGAATTGATTGGGCATAACCTTGCCAGCCATTAAGTTTGCCAAATCCTCAGCACGCTGACAACTATGTTAAGTGGCTTGAACCCAGGTGCACAGCCTCTTACGTGTGGGTTTGGAAAACATGGCCGTGGACGAGAGCTTCTGGATCAGGCATTCAGAATGTTTGGGTACATTCACTGTCTGCTATGTCAGGAAGATTCCTCCAACGATATGTTTCCTGTCATAGTCTTGACATAACAGATGTAACAGATTTAATAAAATGGTACCCATCACTGGGAATGAGGAGCAACCAGCCAGGACTCGTCCCTCTGACACAAGCCTCCACTCAGCCTAATCCTCAGGATCTTAGAAAGTGACAGCCAGACCCAGCTTATCTACTTCCTAGGCTATTGTAACACACACACACACACACACACACACACACACACAATAAAAATGATAGCGTGTGTGAAAAATGTAGAGTCGTATAGAAAAATAAGCCAGTGTTATGATTAACAATGCTGTTCAAATTTATTTTTAGCTCACACGCCACATAAATCAAGACTCAGCATCGTGTGAAGACTGAAAGCCGCCCGGTCCTGATGCCCAGAGTTCTTCGCGGTCGCAGACGCCCTCTCGGAGCCCAGCAAGTCTCAGCAGGGAGCGCCCGTGATCGAGTACGTCCGTGTGTTCTCACAGCAGGCCTGGCCTCGGTGCCAGGGGCGGGGGGGAAAAGTGATGTTGCTCTTGGGGCAGAACCTGTCTTTCTGACTAAGAAATCTGGCAGCAGAGACGCCAGCAGGACCAAGATCTGTAACGTCGTCTCGGCTTGGCAGGCTCTTGGTGCCTTGGGGTTCCTGGACCAGAATGTGAGGTGCTGGCCCTGGCTGGGTGACTCAGTTAGTTGGGGCATCCTCCTGCTATGCCAAGGTTTTAGGTTTGATCGCTGGTCAGGGAACATATAAGAATCAACCAGTGAATGCATGTACAAGCCGAGCAACAAACTTCTCTTTCTCTCTGAAATCAATAAGTAGCCCAGCAAGTGTGGCTCAGTGGTTGAGTGTTGACCCAAGAACCAAGAGGTCGCTAGTTTGATTTTGGGTCAGGACACATGCCCAGGTTGCAGATCCCCAGTAGGGGGCGTGTAGGAGGCAGCCCATGAAACTCATCGAAGTTTCTGTCTCTCCATTCCCTCTCCCTTCCTCTCTCTCTAAAAATCAATAAAAACATAGAAGAATAAAGTCAATAAAAATCAAAACAAAAACAACAACGTGAGGCGCTGTGGGCTGGCACAGGGTTAGCAGCTGCTGAGGACAAAGATGCTCTGGGAGGATGTGGTGGGGACGAGGCTTGAGGACTCCCAAGAACTTTGGGAAAACAGAGCAACCTATTGTTTCATTCTTGAGCCTGAAATTGCACTCAGTGTACTGGCCACACAGAGTACTGTGACCAATTCCAAGATCAACTGCAGATGTAAATGAAGAGCAGGAAATAGTGCATTTTGTCCCAAGGTAGGAGGTGTCAGAAGCTCATCTTCCCTCCCCAAAGAGGCTCCTACAAGAGAATAAAAGTCCATGTGATAATTGGGCCAATTGCCACCCTCTCACCTAACCCCAGAAGTAAGTGAAGGATATTTTCTGAGTGAGGCAGAGGCACATGGCGCAGCCGGCTCTGGAGGTGGTGTGGGCCCTAACATGGTTATAGGAAGGTATCCCTTTCAGAGCAGAGCAGGGAAGACCACGTGAATGCTGGATTCCATGGGCCAGAATCACAGCAAGTTATTTCTACCAACTGAGCTTCAAGAATTGGCTTTTTTGCCTGGCTGGTATGGCTCAGTGGTTGAGTGTTGACTTATGAACCAGGAGATCAAGGTTCAATCCCCGTAGGCACATGCCCTGGTTGTGGGCTCGATCCCACTAGAGGGCATCCTGGAGGGAGCCAATCAATGATATGCTCTCATCATTGATGTTTCTAGCTCTCCCTCTCCCATCTTCTCTGTGAAATCAGTAAAAAAAAAAAAGGACTCTACCCCCAAGACTGACCTAGGAAGGCACTGTTCTTGCTCTTGTGTCTAGAGGAAGCCGGTTTCCAGGCATGTTCTAGAGAGAGCCAGTTTGGTGTCAAGTTAATCTTGACAGATTGTGCTGAAGGCCTAAGAAAAGCAAACATCAGAGGGTAGAATCGGTACAGAACTCAAGACTGTGGCCAGAGGGGCGGGCAGGGCAGGCAGAGGAGAAGTAAGAATTTTGTACATACCAAGGACTTGAAGTCAGGAATAGAAGTCAGGGCAAGCTGTGCAGGCAATGTGAGCTGAGGCAGAAGGTGGCATGGGCTGCCTCTGACCACAGGCCTGGCTCACCTCCAAGACCCGAGGGCCCTGAGTGGATGGAGAAGCAGCTACGTTTGCTCCTGGTGCTGGAAAGGGTCTCCCTCTTCTGCTCACAGCCTTCCCTGCTTTTGTTTTTGTTTGTTTGTTTGTTTGTTTGTTTTCTTAATCTATTTTTTTAAATTGGTTTCAGAGAGGAAGGGAGAGGGAAGATAGAAACATCAGTGATGAGAGAGAATCATTGATCAGCTGCCTCCTGCATGCCCCCTATTGGGAATCGAGCCCACAACCTGGGGAATGTGCCCTTGACTGGAATTGAACCCGGGACCCTTCAGTCCGCAGCCAACGCTCTAGCCACTGAGCCAAACCAGCCAGGGCTTCCCTGCCTTTGGAAGCTTCAGGATCTGGTCCTGGCTCTTAGCCTGGAGTTCAAAGCCTTGCCCTGTGGTGGCAGCCTGCCTCCCTCACCCAAAATAGGCTGAACCCCACACCCACCCCACTCCCGCCAGGGCCTTCTTTCCTGCAGTGCCTCCCTCCCTGTCTTCTGAACATCAGCCTTCCAGCCCCAGCTCTGTTTCTGTCTGAGTGAGCTGCTCACCTGCCAGGGCCACCTCCATCTCTCTCCCCGGGTCCCTCTGACCCTCCTACTCCCCTACATCTCACCCTCCAACCCCACAACAGCTCCCTCTCCGGCCAGGCTACATCTCACCCTCCAACCCCCACAACAGCTCCCTCTCCGGCCAGGCAGTCTCTCACTTAATCTCTCTGACAGTTGCCTGCGGGGATCATAAAAATATAGGTGACTGGTCACCAGTCTGAGTGACCACACGCATGCAGGAAGCACACTTCACATTATTTCCCAATAAAAGCCTGATTTATGTCCCTTCCCCTGGGGCAGTGGAAATGTGTTAGTTTAGGGGATTCCTGCCTCACCCGTCACCTGTGGGAGCTGATGGCACTTCACACTTAGGTTGTGTAGGTGATGCTGAAGGCATTTATTCCCCGAGGGAACAGCAAAGTAATGTGTCCTGTCAGTTCTGTGGCCACCACCTGACTAAGCGACCACCTCCTACTGGGTCACAGTGACAGTGATCAATACAAAATGCGTGACACCGCCCTGACCGGTTTGGCTCAGTGGATAGAGCGTTGGCCTGCAGACTAAAAGGTCCCAGGTTCACTTCTGGTCAAGGGCACAAGAGGTATGCAGGAGGCAGCTGATTGATGTTTCTCTTGCATCGATGTTTCTAATTCTCTATCCCTCTCCCTTCTTCTCTGTAAAAAGTAATAAAATATATTTTAAAAAATGCATGACACTTTGGCCATGCCATCCATGGGATGCCTTCTACTCTCTCTCTCACCGCCCCTCCCCCCCTTCATTGATTTCAGAGAGGAAAGGAGAGGGAGAGGGAGAGAAACATCAATGATGAGAGAGAATCATTGATCGGCTGCCTCCTGCACACCCCCTAATGGGAATCGAGCCCACAACCCGGGCATGAGCAGACTGATGCTCTGTCCACTGAGCCTGAGTAGGTATGGCTGCCCTCCCCAGAATGCCTTCTGCCCTCTTCCCTCACATCCCACTCATTCTTCCAGGTCAGCTCAGTGCTGCCTCTCGGCAGAGCCTGAGCTGCCCAGGCATGACCTCTCCCCGCTGCCCGGCGATCTCACGTGTCTACCTTCCCGCACCCGCAGGCGATGCTCGAGTTTCAGTGACCGATTGTGCTCCCAAGAGCAGGCCTCGCCTCACACTTCTGGGTCTCCCCGCAGGACCGGCCCGGAGGACTCCCTGGAACACTCCAGCCGCTGCTGACGTGGCGTGTGCCATGAGGGAAACCAGCAACAGGCTGAGGAACACCTGGTCACGGAGCCGCTGGCCCCCGTGAGCTGGGGACACACACGGGGAAGGACATGTTAGTGCGGGGGGTGAGCGAGGTCACGGAGCGGCTAAGGCGAGGGGAGACCTGCCTCGGCCAGCAGGCACCTGGGCAGGACCAGGGGACAGACTGCACCCTGAGGACCGGGGTCAGGCCGGGGGCGGGGGGGGGGGGGAGGCCTGTGGAGGAGGAGGCTGAGGCAGGAGGCCATCACCGCGGGGCCATGGCCCACACCTGCCAGACGCCCTGACTCGGGCTGTGCCCGCGGCCAGTGGGGCTGCTGGCCTCTCCTGTGACCACTGCTCTTCCTGGTGAGGAGTGTGCCAGGCCCTGCTCAGAGGCCGCCTGTGCCAGCCGGGGCCTGGGCTCCCCAGCTTCCCAGTCTGGCTCCGGAGCCCCCCTCCTGTGCTGTCCCGAGAGGCTCACAGTCCTTGACGCTGGGGGCTCTGGAAGGGAGGGAAGGGCGGGGGGGGGGGGGGTACAGAGGAAACTCAGCAGCTGGTCCCAGTGGCTGGTACATGGGTGCTCTGGTCCAGTGTCTAACGAAGGATTGTCATTTTGGGGTCAGCTCCCTGAGGCTTCCCCTTTGAGCCCACGCAGGGCCAGCCCAGAAGGAAAACTCCTCGCTGGCTCCCCCGTGGCCTCCATTCGCCTCACCTGGCCACCTGGAGGCAGTTCACCCCCGGTCGGCCCTCCGGCCCTCCCCCCTCCGGCGGGCCTGCTGCCTCGGGTCGGGTGGGGTGGCCCAGGCCCGGCGGTGGTTGTGTGAGTCCTTCTCTCACACTGGTCCGCCCTCATCTCAGCGACTGGAAACGGCAGCGGGCAGAGGGTAAGAGGCGTCTCAGTGCGCAGAGCCCCCAGTCGGTTCAGAGTCCCCGTCTCAGCCCTGTCGAGGGGGCGGGCTGGTGGGCGCTGCTTTCACTGATCAGATGAGACCCAGAGGCGGAGAGGCCGCGCGTGTGACTTTGGAAGCAGCCCTGGAGCCAGAACTCCGTCCCCCGGCCCCTTTGCCAGCACCTTCCGGCGCCTTCCTGGGCACCGGGGCAAGGAGGAGGGTGGTGGTTCAGCCGAGGTTTCCGGAGGTTTCCGGTGCCTGCGTCCCAGCAGGAGGCGCTCACCTTTGGAGCTGGGAGGGCTGCCGGGGTGCAGGCCAGCCCCTGAATTTGCAGAGGGACAGGGTCCCCCACTCCCACCCGGGAGGGGGTGAGCTGCTGGAGCCTCCTGGTGGGGGGTGCAGAGCCGGGAGCTCACGTCCCAGCTCCAGGCCGCAGGCGCCCACATTGTGCTGTTTTCCCGTCCTGTGTGCGCCAGGCAGGGCCTGTGCTGTGCTCACGGCTGCGGGGCCGGTGGGGTCTCCCGTGTGCATCCCCCCTGCGGATGGCTCTGTGTCTGGATGCGCGCGGTGTTCCTGGGCTGCCCGGGTCCCGTGGCAGTTCTCTGGCCCAGTGGTCGGCAAACTCATCGGTCCACCGAGCCAAATATCAACAGGACGACGACTGAAGCTTCTTTTGAGAGCCACATTTTTAAAACTTAAACCTCTTCTAACGCCACTTCTTCAAAATAGACTGGCCCAGGCCGTGGTGTTTTGAGGAGGAGGCACACTCAAGGGGCCAAAGAGCCACATGTGGCTTGAGAACCACAGTTTGCCGACCAGGGCCCTAGCCGACGGGCCTGTGAAGGGGCGTGTCACCGCCTCAGGTCCTGGGGTTTACCTCCCCGCGATGCCGGTGGGGATTGTTATATTACAGACGGACGGTTTGCAGACCGGCAGGAAACGCTGACAGCCCCGAGGGGCCCAATCCCACGCAGGAGGGCAGCCCCTGTGCCCTCTCCTCTGAGTGAGCAGGACCGCGAGGCCTGGCCTGCTCTGCGCCTGGCCCGGGCCCTGACGCGGGGCCTGGATCGTGGGGATCTGAACCCGCGGGGAGGCAGGTCCCGGACGCTGGCTGATGGCTGAGGACAGGTGGGTGCTGAGGGCCGGTCCAGACCTATTTGTGGGGAAGCAGCGCCAACCTGAGCCAAGATTCTGGAGAGGATTAGCGAGAACATGTCCATCGCAGCCTCCACCTGCCTGGCTGGGACCGGGCACAGATACCGGGAGAGCGAGGGGGCCTCTCACTCAAAGCAAAGCACTAACAAGACTTGGGGTGGCCTGTGAGAGCTGCGGAGAGAGGTGTTCACATCTGAGCCCAGATCCCGGGGGGCTGGCCGGGAGCTGGGCCAGGAGGCCTGGGCTTCTCCCTGGGAATGCCAGGCTCAGAGGAGACCGGGGCGGGGGGCAGGCACCAGTGCCCTCAGCGAAGGGCATCGCCAGGGCTCTGGTCCAGCCCCTCCCGGAGCAGAGCGCCCAGCCTGGCTGGCGGCCTCTGTGGGCTCCGCGAGGTGCACACACACACACACACACACACACACACCCCGGGCCGAGCTCCGGAGAGAGGCCTGTGAACACAGGTTAGGGGCGGGCGGGTCAGGTTGGGACCTGTGGTTCCTCACGGCTCTGCCGGCCACACCACGACTTTGGCACCTTCCTCCCCGCCCATCGATCTTCCCAGCGTCAGTCCTTCACACTGAAGCGAGTTTTTAAAAATAGGTGAGGCCTGTGGCAAGAGGGAGCAGTCTCCTGCTCCCGCCCGCTCCCCTCCTCCCAGGCAACATCTGTGCGTCCTGACTTGGCACCACAGACGCAGGCAGACGGTCAGTGCTCCCCTCCCTAACTGCTTTGGACTCAGCAACTCCTCTGAGAGTCTAAAACAGCTCCGAGTTCTTCCCTGAAACATCACACACACACACACACACACACACACACACACACACACTCACACATACACTCACACACACACTCACACTCTCATACACACACACGCACACACACTCTCACACACACACACACTCACATACACTCACACATTCACACACACATACACTCACACACTCACACACACACATACACTCATACTCACACACACACACACATACACACACACACACACACACTTAAACACACACACTCACACACACACTCTCAAACACACACACTCATACACACACACACATGTACACACACTCACACTCACACACACACTCTCACACACACACACACTCACACTCACATACACTCACACATTCACACACACATACACTCTCACACACACTCACACATACACACACATACACTCATACTCACACTCACACACAC